GAATTTATTGAGGCTTCGTTTTCACGACAATGTCTGAACATAAACCACGAGTTAAACCGTCGACGTGGAATACTGCATTACCGAGATGGTGAAATAAACCCGCCATATTTAAAGAATGCTTTGAAAGGCATAGATGAGACGAATTTCACCGGTTTTCAGGCATGTTCCATTCTTTGTTCCTGTCAAGAAAAATAATTTACTAAAAATCAGAATGAACTTATAACAAACGATGATTTGACGATATAATGATGCAAATTCGAACTTTAGCACCAAGAACCCTTCGCGCTGCCTCGTTGGAAACCACGTGAAGCTATTTTGTTTGGAAGAGAAAAACCGATCAATACAACAGCCCCGAAGAAGTTTTATTGTACAGTACTGATATTCACGTCTCAGGAACATCATCTAGAAATACACAGGGAATTCGTAACCGGTTAGGAAATTGTAATGGATTTTTGCATCATATGGGATTAAACCACTATTAAACAAACAAATAGTTCTAATTATATGATTTCAGCAAATATGCCATTCCTCCCCAATGAAATAGAAGGAAATCCAATGAACGGAGTGATTATCCCACACGATTTAAGTTCATCCTCGTACAAGAGATTTTCTTTCTGGCGATACAACTATTTGCCGTTAGTCATCTTTTATATTAACAGAAGCAAACTTTAATCATTATCAAATTATGCCAAAGTCATCCAATATTGAGATTTAATCGTTTTTGGCGCAAATACTTCAAGAATTTCTATTCCAAACATTGCATCAATAATTAAATATGACAGTCGAATGGTCGTAATATTTAAGTGAAAATGATAATGAGGTAGTACTTGGGTGATATATACATAATAAGGATTAGGGGAGGGATTTTGTAAGCTCCGTCGGGGTAATCATAGAGGTATGGCTAGTCTTTGACACTATCCGTTGTGTAGGTACTGAGACGTTTTTGTTTTCATTCATTGTTAGCTTATATCCTCTTCATTGCATTAATTTTACAAGTTTCGTCATCCCGTTTGTTGGACATTCTGGGAATTTTGTTTGCACGTACCTTTCATTT